GAAGTCCGATTCTTCAATTACGGTTTCCCCCTCTTGCTTGCAAGGGGTCCCCACTTGACATCGTTCAGAGAGAGGTACCGCTGCGAAGTTGCTAGGTGGGAATTTACCGCACAGCTAGCTTCCATCCTTACGGCACCTAGAAGCTAGCCCCAGCGCCAGCAGCATCTTGAAATCAAGCCAAAGAACACATCCGATTTCCCCTAACGATACTTCGGTACGTCGTCTTCCACTAAACGGCAGGTCCGCCAGGACAGGCGATTTCCTGATACAATGTCATGTCATTCCTTTTCCATTTCAAAAAATGTTGAAAGCCGGAAAGGGTTGTGCGTGACGCTGTCACTGGCTTTCTCATCATGATCTGATGTCTTCGCCTGCAACAGCAAACAAACGAGATATACACGCAACTTAACCTGCACCAATTTGTCCATCTTCAATGGCAAATGACGGTAGAATACAACTGGCCTGCATACCCTTACCTTCTTTTGCTTCTTTTGTTTTCGTTTCTTGTCCTTTTCTTTCTTGCGCTTCTTCTTCCGAGACTTCTCGTCGCCTGTTGAACTGCTGTCACTGCTGGAGCTATCCCGGCGCTGTCGCTTCCTCGCCTCCTTCTTGATCGCCTCTAGGTGTTGCCGCTCTTGTTCTTCAATCTTCGAATTTCTGAAGTTCTGAACAGCCAGCACACTTCAGGTTACCGAGAATTGTTTGGCAACGAATCTCCTTTAAAATAAAAAGACCTCATAAACAACCAGGTGCATATGCTCTCGAAGAAAGCTACCAAAGCTAGCGCATGCAAGAACTTGGGCCGTACCTGTAGTTCTCTACTAAAGCATTCATTTTCATACTTTTCCAGGAACTCGCTATTTGACGCCTCCTTCTTCTTAAGCATCTTATGCAATTGGTCCCATGTTGGCCGCGAATTCCTTCCGAGCTTCTCCGCAAGGGAAGGCCTAAAGAGTCGCAGCGGCACATAGATGAAAAAGTGTTCGGGACAGGAACCTGCATAGTCGCCTGAGGCCTTTTCTCGCCCGGTAGTGCTCTGCACGCTTTCTCGTCAGGCGACAAGCACACAATGCTTTTTATACGGTGTCGCCTTTGGGCGGAAAACACCCTGACTGCCTATCTGCTCGAA